GGTGTGATGCGTGCGCGCGGCTGTGAGGTGGCGGTCTACCTCTACGGCGGGGTGTGATGCGTGCGCGCGGCTGTGAGGTGGCGGTCTACCTCTACGGCGGGGTGTGATGCGTGTGCGCGGCTGTGAGGTGGCGGTCTACCTCTACGGCGGGGTGTGATGCGTGTGCGCGGCTGTGAGGTGGCGGTTTACCTCTACGGCGGGGACTGCGGGACTGCGTGTGTGCTTAGATTTTAGTGTTCGATTAAAAAACGCAAGGAGTTAAATGCGTGAAGAACAACCTGATACACGCATGGCGGAGATAATGCAACAGATTCATTTTCCTGAAGTCTCTCCTCCCTGTAATGCAAGGGTTCGCGTCTCTGGCAGGCAAATGGCTCAACGGGGCTGTTTCTGCAGAAGGATGAAAAGCACAGGAACGAAGATTCCTCATGATTACAGCCAAAAAGCAGTTTGATTTAGTGGTATTTATTTTTGCGCTCAAAGTGGATAGTGATCCCTTGGATTTCCGTGGATGTTCCCGACCCAAATCCCGGGGTCTCCTCCGCCTGCTACGGCTCGCATTCGCGCAGGCCGTCAAAAGGGGAATCCGTCGCAGAACGCTTTCACGTGGACAATGGAGGGTCACACGTCACAATGGGGAAACGTGGACCACATCCCTGGGGTTCCAACCGAAAGGTGTGCAGGCAGGCTGTGATTGGTTGGTGTTGTGGGTCACCTTTTTGGGCCTTTGAGGCATGCTTCAAAAGGGGGGGGGCGAATCTTCTGGGATAATGACACGCCTCCATGACACAGATTAATACACTGCTGATTTGATTTTCTGAAACATGCCCGATCTACACATGGTCTTTTATCTTTTGCAACTGGAATGGGAAGATGAGTTCAGGTTTAACTTGAAGATAGAAGATTTCTGAAGTGATTCAGCGTGCTTGATCACTTCTGGCTTGTCGTCTGTAGGGGGCAGCGCAGCAGGACTCCAGCTCCCCCTGTTACCCTCAGAGCACTCGGACCTGGGGCCGAGCTACAGCGGTGCTTTTAGAAATAGTGGTGGAATAAAAATAGGAGCGTGGAAAGTGCGTTTATTTTAAGAGCGGCCAAACGCAAATATTTACCCACCGTCACGTAAAATATTTACCCGCGTGTTGTGTGTGTGACCTCTCTCAATAACGGCTCAGATGCTGCAATGTAAACTGGCCGAGAGCAAACAGGAGCAGGGCTGTTTGTTGTGGTGTTTTCGCCGGTTCTAAGTGGACAGCTGCGTAAACACTTATCTTCCTTCCCGCTATTAAGGCGCGGCTCCATCAAACGCGCCGTGACTTTAAGGCCTCCGGAGATTTCTGGCGGGTTAAATGGAAACACTCTGATCTGACACACTCTGATCTGACACACTTCTTTTATCGTAGGTGATGAATTGAACTTGTTGTTGATCAATGAAATATTCAAATAATAATAATAATAATACTACTAATAAATTATTATTATTATTGTCATTATTATATGATATAATATTATATAATAAATAATTATGACATGGAAATAAACAAACAATAACAATAATAGTCCCAATAAAAATCCATCAGCCTGTGTGCTATAAATTTCTGCGAAAAGAGCTGTCCAGGCAGGATATGCGTGAATAGGGAGTGTGCCGATGTTGTGTGATGGTGATGTTTATTATACTCTGGATAATAGCAGGATGGGTCAACAGGAAGTCTGAAAGGGTCTCAAATCCACATCATTTTAAGGCTTTTTAATGAGGGAACCCAGCCGGTGAGTGACAGTTGGTGACTGCAGGAAGTGATGATGGAGAGCAGTGTGCTGTACACAGTTTACGTTTTTTTGTTTCCTCGTGTCATGTACGCCGGTATTCGGTGTTTGCACCCTGCTTCCGCTGTCCCCTTACCTGACAGGCCTGCTTTGAGGACCTGAGGCACAGGGCCATGGGACCCTTCTGTCGTGTGTGTGTGTGTGTGTGCGTGCCCGTGTGTGCGTTCTCATTAGAGGTTGAGGTCTCATGAGGGTCAGAGACCTGTTGATCTCCCCCATGGTGACTATTTCACTTCAGAATTCTTATAAAAAACCTCCTTGAATTGATGAGGTCCTTACGAGAAGGTGTCATTGGCAGAGGTCTTGTGTCTCCCAACCATACAAAGAAAAGACTCCTTCCAAATGTTCGATTAGGGCTACGGGTACGTTGTAGTTGGCATATGGAGAGGCTTCTCCCTGAAGCATTTTAACTGCCCCGGGGCAATTGTCCTGCATGTGCTTCTGCTCGGCGTCTATCGCAGAGAGACGTCATGTGACCCATGACACGTGACCATAGCTCGTTTTTATTATTGCAAAAAATGTCTGAACTTCTGTGTCACGCAGCCGTCTACAATCCCGAGATAAGTAACAGTCGATGTTGTGCTTCTGTATTTGCAAGGCAAATAGGTCTATTTTCGAGCTCTTTGCGCTTACGCTCTCCCAGCTTAAGTAACCCTTCCCCGATTTCTTTCCTTTCCTGCGAACAATTTGTCACAGAACATCTGCTCTGCAGAAAGAGCATGAGAGGCGTGTTTATTGTTTAAATCATTAAATAGACCCATCGCTGCCGCAGCCACGAAGGTGTGACACTACCCGGGAGGGAAGTATTATTAGTGATGTTAGAGATACTTTTTATGAAACAGATGAGTGGCTGCATAACAGATAATGATGATGATGATGATGATGATGATGATGTCGTGGTTGCCAATTAGGAAATGCAGGAGCCCTTTGGATGTGTAATACATGACGACATCCTGACTAACCACAGTAGTGTTTTGGGCTTGAAATGGATGATGTCACAGGTTCCCATTAGAAATGACTCACAGAAATGCATGTATGCTTTGGGCATGATTAAAAGATGACTAATGTTATTAAAGGGCTTTTTGGCTTTTAAAAAGTTTGTATTCCGATGGCCATGTGATGCCAGGTTGCTGGAAAAGTGCAGGCATGTGTCATCCATCCATCCATCCATCCATCCATCCACTTTCAAGCTTATCGTGTTATAGGGCAGGCAAACTGAGTTTGCGGCTTTGTAAATGGGTATGATGCTAGATCATAAGCTGAGAATGTCTCTGGGTAATAGCCTTTGCTAAGTATGTCAGGACCACGACGGAGACCGTCACCGTGACTCCCGGGCCGGCGCTGAAGGCTCCGCATAATGAGACAAGCTGCATGAGACGCGGTGCAAGTGTGACAGGAATAAAGTCACCCTGCATTTGTTGCTGCGTTGCTCCTTGTCTGTCGCCACCCTCTTGTTCTGTTTATTTGCAGAACCAAAGTGAGACGAGAGCATCGTAATTCATAAGCATGATTCGGGGATGGGGGGGGGGGAACCAGCAAAGGATGCGAATTCCATCTCAAAATGCTGCCTGTAATCTGATTGGTTTTAGACAATCACATGATTATGGGGCCTGAGTGAAAGATTGTCTCTCACTAGGAGACCCTCCCCACGTCTCAGTACCCCTCCATCCGCCGATGCGCTCGATAGGGGCAAACGGCTGTTTTCAGACACTTACTGGCGCAGGTATTTGATATCAGGGGGTAGGAAAGGGCCCTATTATACGGCCCATTAAATCCTTTGTTCTAATTGAAACCTTTTTCCTCTGGCAGCAAAAGACACCTTTTTGATGTTAATAG